TCTTCGAGGACGACCCCTATCCCGCCTTCCTTCCCCTACAGATTTATATGATCTCCATGTTATTCTACTTTAATCCATTCTCACTAAATGACCAAACCACCTCAACCCCTTTTCAGCCCTCTGACTAATATGTACTTTTATTAACTCCACACCTTCTCCTAATTTCCACACTCCAAATTTTCTGCATAATATTCACACCACACATTGCCCTTAGACAGGATATCTCCAATGCCTCCAACCGCCTCCTCGCTGCAGCATTTACAACCCAAGCTTTACACCCATACGAGAGTGCTGGTATTACTATACTTTCATACATTCCCTTCTTTGCCTCCATAGATAACGTTTTTTGTCTCCATGTATACCTCAGCACACCACTTGCCTTTTTTCCTTCATCAATTCTATGATTAACCTCATCCTTCATAAATCCATCCGCTGACACATCAACTCCCAAATATCTGAAAACATTAATTTCTTCCATACTCCTCCTCCTCCCCAATTTGATATCCAATTTTTCTTTATCTAAATCATTTGATACCCTCATCACCTTACTCTTTTCTATTTTCACTTTCAACTTTCTACCTTTACACACACTCTCAAACTCATCTACTAACCTTTGCAATTTTTCTTTAGAATCTCCCATAAGTACAGTATCATCAGCAAAAAGTAACTGTGTCAATTCCCATTTTGTATTTGATTCCCCATAATTTAATCCCACCCCTCTCCCGAACACCCTAGCATTTACTTCTTTTACAACCCCATCTATAAATATATTACACAACCATGGTGACATTACACATCCCTGTCTAAGACCTACCTTTACCGGGAAGTAGTCTCCCTCTCTTCTACACATAACTGAACACTATAGTATTTGTTGTGTGTATGTAAAACTGTAATTAATTTCTATAAAATGTATTTTTTTTTTTTTTGGTGAATATTTTTGGGTTTCTGGAACGGATTAATTGTTTTTTTGTTTTTTTTCAACAAGTCGGCCGTCTCCCACCGAGGCAGGGTGACCCAAAAAAGAAAGAAAATCCCCAAAAAGAAAATACTATCATCATTCAACACTTTCACCACACTCACACATAATCACTGTTTTTGCAGAGGTGCTCAGAATACAACAATTTAGAAGCATATACGTATAACGATACACAACATATCCCTCCAAACTGCCAATATCCCAAACCCCTCCTTTAAAGTGCAGGCACTGTACTTCCCATTTCCAGGACTCAAGTCCGACTATATGAAAATAACCGGTTTCCCTGAATCCCTTCACTAAATATTACCCTGCTCACACTCCAACAGATCGTCAGGTCCCAAGTATCATTCGTCTCCATTCACTCCTATCTAACACGCTCATGCACGCTTGCTGGAAGTCCAAGCCCCTCGCCCACAAAACCTCCTTTACCCCCTCTTTCCAACCCTTTCGAGGACGACCCCTACCCCTCCTTCCTTCCTCTATAGATTTATATGCTTTCCATGTCATTCTACTTTGAACCATTCTCTGTAAATGACCAAACCACCTCAACAACCCCTCTTCTGCCCTCTGACTAATGCTTTTATTAACTCCACACCTTCTCCTAATTTCCACACTCCGAATTTTCTGCATAATATTTATAACACACATTGCCCTTAGACAGGACATCTCCACTGCCTCCAACCGTCTCCTCGCTGCTGCATTTACCACCCAAGCTTCACATCCATATAAGAGTGTTGGTACTACTATACTTTCATACATTCCCTTCTTTGCCTCCATAGATAACGTTTTTTGACTCCACATATACCTCAACGCACCACTCACCTTTTTTTCCTCATCAATTCTATGATTAACCTCATCCTTCATAAATCCATCCTCCGACATGTCAACTCCCAAGTATCTGAAAACATTCACTTCTTCCATACTCCTCCTCCCCAATTTGATATCCAATTTTTCTTTATCTAAATCATTTGATACCCTCATCACCTTACTCTTTTCTATGTTCACTTTCAACTTTCTACCTTTACACACATTCTCAAACTCATCTACTAACCTTTGCAATTTTTCTTTAGAATCTCCCATAAGCACAGTATCATCAGCAAAAAGTAACTGTGTCAATTCCCATTTTGAATTTGATTCCCCATAATTTAATCCCACCCCTCTCCCGAACACCCTAGCATTTACTTCTTTTACAACCCCATCTATAAATATATTAAACAACCATGGTGACATTACACATCCCTGTCTAAGACCTACTTTTACCGGGAAGTATTCTCCCTCTCTTCTACACACCCTAACCTGAGCCTCACTATCCTAATAAAAGCTCTTTACAGCATTTAGTAACTTACCACCTATTTCATACACTTGCAACATCTGCCACATTGCTCCCCTATCCACTCTATCATATGCCTTTTCTAAATCCATAAATGCAATAAAAACTTCCCTACCTTTATCTAAATACTGTTCACATATATGCTTCAATGTAAATACTTGATCTACACATCCCCTACCCACTCTGAAGCCTCCCTGCTCATCTGCAATCCTACATTCTGTCTTACCTCTAATTCTTTCAATTATAACCCTACCGTATACTTTTCCTGGTATACTCAGTAAACTTATTCCTCTATAATTTTTACAATCTCTTTTGTCTCCTTTCCCTTTATATAAAGGGACTATACATGCTCTCTGCCAATCCCTAGGTACCTTCCCCTCTTTCATACATTTATTAAACAAAAGTACCAACCACTCCAACACTATATCCCCCCTGCTTTTAACATTTCTGTCATGATCCCATCAGTTCCAGCTGCTTTACCCCCTTTCATTCTACGTAATGCCTCACGTACCTTCACCACACTTACATTCTGCTCTTCTTCACTCCTAAAAGATGGTATACCTCCCTGGCCAGTGCATGAAATTACCGCCTCCCTTTCTTCCTCAACATTTAAAAGTTCCTCAAAATATTCTCGCCATCTACCTAATACCTCCCTCTCCCCATCTACTAACTCCCCTACTCTGTATTTCTATTAATTCTTATGGGAAATATTGCTTCAATTTTCAGACTTTTCGAATTTAGAACTAGCTCCTGGAACAGATTAAGTTCGAAATTTGAGGTTCCACTGTACGTGTTTATTTTGCCTGACTGATTGATCACCCACCATCCATTCAGTTTGTGTTTTTACATTGTCTGAACTCCATGTATCTCGTTCTCTCTCATTTACTATTTCGTTAACTTAGCTCTCACTGATGATGGCATCTCAGCTTAGTTGTGATAAACAGAGGAGTCATAAGCCTCTTACTTTACGTGTCAAGTTAAAAATGATTAAACTTAGTGAAATGACTTTTTTGAGTTGTACACATATGCTGCTATGTATGATACTCTATGTAACTGTATTTTTTTTTTTAACAAGTCGGCCGTCTCCCACCGAGGCAGGGTGACCCAAAAAAAAAGAAAGGAAATCCTCAAAAAGAAAATACTTTCATCATCATTCAACTCTTTCACCTCACTCACACATAATCACTGTTTTTGCAGAGGTGCCCAGAATACAACAGTTTAGAAGTATATACGTATAAAAATACACAATATACTAACTTACTAACAAATGTCGATGGCTGAGATAGCACATAAGCTTGGTTTGACTCATCAAACAGTTAGTACAGTTGTGAACAATAAGGAGAAAATGTTGCAGGTATACACAAAAACAGTTACATAGATTATTATATATAGCAGCATATGTGTAGAGAACCTAGGATAACCCAAAAATGCCAAAGTGACTTATTGCTGACATGGAAAAACTTTTACACTGCCACTCACCTCTCACACATTCATATTAATATTTTAAGGAAAGTAACAAGTGTACTGTGTGTGTATGGGGGAACCCCGAATATTGGCCGCTGCATTTACCAGCCGATTCGTATTTAGGCCTGCTTTTGGGCAGAAATTTTGCTCCGTATTTCGGCCAGTGCCTCGTAAATCATCCGTATCAATACGCATCAGCCCACCTCCGCTGGGACACCACGTGTAGGTGAGTCAGTCTCCCTGTGTCTCTTGGTGAATGAGTATATACTCCGTGCAGTCATCCAAACATTTCCATAAAATCCATTGGTTTTTGTGCTTCTTTGTTAAGTGCAACTGTGAAATAAACCACTATGGGCCCAAAGAAAGTTCAGAGTGCCAGCCCTTTGGTAAAGAAAGAGAGAAACACAATGGAATTTAAGAAAGAGGTTATTGAAAAATATGATAGTGGTGTTCGAGTGCTAGAACTGCCAGGATGTATGAGAAATCCAAATCAACAATCACTTCCATCCTGGCAAAGAAAGTAAAAAACAAGGAAGCTAATGTTGCAAAAGGGAGTTTTGCAGGGAGGCAGGGAGTGTGGACAGGAGGCAGGGAGTGTAGCAGGCATGCAGGGAATGTAGCAGGCAGGGAGGGAAGTAACCCCAGAGAGGGCTTTGATACCTGAAGTCCTTATGGAGGGGGATTCCCCTTCCAAATAATAATCAGTCCTCCCTCTCTCCTCCCCCCTGTCTTCCATAAGCCAACAAGAGTCTTCAATAAAGGTATGTAATAGTGACTCAAATGTTCATTTATTAATTTTATTTAGTTCTCATTGTTTTGTGTATATAAAACTGTAATTAATCTTTAAAAAATGTACTTTTTTTTTAATTATTTTTGGGTGTATGGAACGGATTAATTGTATTTACATTAATTCTTATGGGAAATATTGCTTCAAATTTAGGCAGTTTCGAATTTAGGCCAACCTTCTGGAACAGATTATGGCCGATCTTCGGGGTTTCACTTTTTATTGAGGTTTTTAATGCCTAGTTCTACTGCTAACTTATTGTATGTTAGTGTAAACTTGTTATCTAGCATTTATATGCATTTATAAGTGGAAAAAAGGGTGTACCACTTAATGGTGATTTCCGCTTTACGGCAGTAGCCTGGAACCTAACCTGCCATATAAGTGGGGCCCTACTGTATATTTTTTTAACAAACAGTAATACAGCACTCTAAGTAGATGATAATTACCAAGTTGTGAAAATTCTTCTTAATGCTGCGTAACATGCCAGGATAAGTAGGTCGAAGAAGTTCTCCTGTCGATGATGGCCACTTGCGGTAGGCTTTGTCAGTTTCAATGTTGTTCATCCACATAATGGCTGAGTCACGGATATCAATACCATATTCTTGGGTACTTTCAGTAACATCCAAGTGCAACAAGGTGCTTAAAGATTCTCCACGGACACCTGTGAACAAAGTTAATATACAGTAATTTAGGCACAACTACAACAGACCACCACCTTTTGCACCTCCACCTATTGTACTTCCACCTGTTCACAATACCTTTTTTTATACAATCATAGCATTTTCACTCTTTTATACAATCACAGCATTTTTCACTTTCAAATGTTTATAAAAGCCAGATAACACATTTACACTATCATATATAAAGTAAGCAAAAGAGCTAGACCTAAAAAATGCATATACAGTACAAAACTTCACTACCCTAAAATATTTTCATCTTTAACTCTTAACCCTTTCAGGGTCCGTCCCGTAGATCTACGGCTTTACGTTCAGGGACCAAACAGTAGATCTACGCCAAAATTCTAGCGATGTCAAATTTAGCGCGAGAAGGCTGGTAGGCCTACATCTGAGAGAATGGGTCTGGGTGGTCAGTGTGCACACCATAGAAAAAATCTTGACGCCCACATGGCATTGTGGGAACGCCGGCAAAGTAGCTTTGTTCATTGTGCCTGGCAGCAAGGAAGCTCTCACTCCCCACTCACTCTCCGGGTGAATTCTGACTCTCCTCTTCACAACTTACAGTTCTAAGACTGATGGAAGTGGAGATGAAGATGAATTCTATGGTTTTGAACCATATGGTACCATTGTGCCATATGGTACAATAGTACCATATGGTACAATGGTGCCATGTCATACAATGGTATCATATGGTACAATGGTATCGTATGGTAGAGTGGTACCAAATGGTACAATGTACCATATAGTACATTGTACCACATGGTACATTATACCATATGGTACCATATGGTACAGGGTACCATATGGTACCATATGGTACAGGGTACCATATGGTACAGGGTACCATATGGTACAGGGAACAGGGACCCTAATGGAAATAAGTTTGTCTGACTTTTTTGGGTTATCCTAGGATCTCCAAACATATGCTGCTAAGTATGACATTCTATGTAACTTTATTTGTGTATAACTAAATAAACTTACTTATGATGTCACATGCACTTGAGTAAATTTATTCAGGTGTACAGAAATACAATTACATAGATTATCATACATAGCAGCATACGTACAAAATCCTAGGATAACCCAAAAAAAGTCAGGGTGACTTATTTCCATAGTTATCCCTGTATCTGTACCATATGGTGTCCTGTACTGTATGGTACCCTGTACCATATGGTACCCTGTGCCATATGGTACCCTGTGCCATATGGTACCCTGTGCCATATGGTACCCAGTACCATATGGTACTCTGCACCATATGTTATCCTGTACTGCATGGTACCCTATACCATATAGTACAATGTACCATATGGTACCCTGTAACATATGATACTGTGTACCATATGGTCAATAGGTGTTGGTGGCATGAGACACCAGCCAAGACTGAGTGGCGACACAAGCTAACTACTGACTCCGCAGTTTCCGAGACAAAGTGCTTTGTCATCCACCTCAAGGAACACGTCAAGTTCCTGTACACTTGTAAATATATAATAGAACATCACTAATATACAACATTTTTGCATATTTTTGTTGAAAACAACTATTGTAAACAAAATAATAATGAAAATATTAGTGTCTTTGTGTTGAATACAACAGTACTATATGGTACAATTCAATTCAATTCAAAGTTTATTCTCTATAAGGATTACAATGCTGAGTTTACAGAATTTGGTTATTGTATTGTTTACATGTAGTAAAATAATAATTACAGAGTGTACCACTAGAACACCTAGCATGGCTAGGCATTTCGGGCAGACTTAAATTAAATCTTAAGTTTAAAATATTACAAAATTATGAGGTAAGTTGGTATTATGGCTAAGTGACTAAATACTAGTTTGTGAGTTTAGCAATGTGAATGCTTTGATTTGGCACTATACATAGTTTCAGTATTGGAGTATCACAGGCCAACTTATGACTAGTTAAGATTCATTATTTTGAGATTGAGATTGATATTTCTGTTTATGGTCAAATGGGTGAGTGAGTGTAAGTGTTAACTACCAGGTGGTATTCGTGTAATTAGTTGACAGGGTGTATCAGGGAGATAAGATGTTTTCTGATGGTAGTTTTGAAGGTGATGAATGTGTCTGCAGTTTTAGAATTTTCAGGTAGGGTGTTCCAGATTTTAGGGCCTTTGACATACATTGAATTTTTGTAAAGGTTTAGTCGGACACGGGGAATGTCATAGAGATGTTTGTGTCTGGTATTGTGTCTGTGGGTTTTGTCGCAACTATCAAGAAAGCGTTTTAGGTCAAGGTTAATATTGGAATTTAAGGTCCTGTAGATGTAGATTGCACAGTAGTAAGTATGGATGTACTGAACAGGGAGTAAGTTTAGATCTATGAAGAGTGGGTCAGTGTGTTGCCAGGGATGGGATTTAGTGATTATTCTTACTGCGGCTTTTTGTTGGGTTATTATTGGCTTTAGGTGTGTTGCTACAGTTGAACCCCAAGCACATATAGCATAGGTGAGGTATGGATATATAAGTGAATGGTATAGTGTGAGAAGGGCAGTTTGCGGCACGTAGTATCGTATCTTGGAGAGGATCCCAACCGTTCTGGATACATTTTTGGTTATGTGTTGGATATGGGTGCTGAAGTTCAGGTTGTTGTCGAGGTATAGGCCTAGGAATTTGCCCTCATTATGCCTGGCAATTAGAGTGTTGTCGATCTAGAAATCAATACAGATATTGACGAATGTATTAATAATTTTCTAAAAAAGACTCAATACCTCTATAACAAGCACTGCCCTAAAAAAACTAAGCAGATGACAGCTAAGAGACTGAACAGTCCCTGGCTAACACCCAGCATTCTCAAATCCATAAATACAAAACACCAATATGAAAAACAGTACAGAATGGGTCACATAACCAGAGACCAAACAAAACGTTACTCGTCAATCCTAACCAGCCTGATAAGAAGGGCAAAAAAATTGTATTATGAGAACAGATTATCCAACTTACGAGGTGATATAAAAAAAGACCTGGAAAACCCTATCAGAAATTCTGGGAACAAAAAAGATATCACGAAATAGCGAAATAAAATTAGCAAAATCAGATGAACCCCAACTCCCACCAACAGAAACAGCAAACAGACTCAATGATTTCTTCTCCACTATAGGACAAAACCTTGCCAATAAAATCCCAAGCTCAGATACCCCACCAAATGACTACCTCACGGCAACTACCCGAACACACTGTTCCTAGCTCCGACTAACCCATACGAAGTCTCCCTTATTATCAACGCACTAAAAAACAAGGCAGGAGATTTAAATACCTTACCACCCTTTATATACAAAAAAGTGTCACAAGTGCTATCACCAATCATTGCAACACTCTTTAACAAAAACCATTGAATCCTCCACCTTCCCCACAGTACTCAAAATAGCAAGGGTCACCCCGATCCACAAAGGAGGAGACCAAACAGAGTTGAATAACTATAGGCCAATATCCAACTTACACCCTCTCTCTCAAAATCTTCGAAAAATTAATTCATAAACGAATCTACTCCTACCTTATCTCCCAAAACATACTCAACCCCTGCCAATTTGGATTCAGGCCTAATAAAAATACTAATGATGCTATTATACACATGCTAGAACATATATACACTGCAATAGAGAAAAAAGAAGTCCCACTGGGGATCTTCATTGACTTACGTAAAGCTTTTTTATACAGTTGACCATGACTTGCTCCACGTAAAATTATCACACTATGGTATAAGAGGGCACTCCCTCAACTACCTCAAGTCATACCTCAGCAACAGAAGCCAATATGTGTACGCAAATGGGGCAAACTCTTCTGCACAACCAATTACAGTTGGTGTCCCACAGGGAAGTGTCCTTGGCCCTCTTCTTTTTTCTCCTATACATAAATGACCTACCAAATGCTTCTCAATTACTCAAACCCACCTATTTGCTGATGACACAACATACGTCTTCTCCCACCCGAGCCCAGTCCACGCTAGCCAATACTGTAAATACCGAATTACAGAAAATATCTACCTGGATGAGTACTAACAACTTACACTAAACATTGACAAAACCTACTTCATTCAGTTTGGTAACAGAGCTACAGATGTCCCCCTTAACATAATGATAAACGGATCACCCATCACAAAGCTAACAGAGGGAAAATTCTTAGGAATCCACCTTGATAATAGACTCAAATTTCATACACATATACAAACAAATTTCTAAGAAAATTTCCAAGACTGTAGGCATACTATTGAAGAATACGGTACTATGCTCCACAGTCAGCCCTCCTGGCCCTATATCACTCTCTTATTTACCCCTATCTCACCTATGGATATTTGTGCATGGGGCTCAACAACAAGTAACCATCTCAGACCACTAATTACCCAACAAAAGGCTGCAGTTAGAATGATAACAAATTCTCACTACAGGCAGCACACTCCACCAATATTCAATACACTCAACCTACTCACCATACAAAACATCCATACTTATTACTGCACCTATTACATACATAGAACACTCAACTCTGATATTAACCCTCCCCTCAAACATCTCCTGCCAACCTCAACAGAACACATGACCATAACACAAGGCACAGATCACTCTTTGATATTCCTCGTGTCCATCTCACGCTATGCAAAAACTCAATGCACATAAAAGGCCCTAAAAAACTGGGAAATTCATTACCTGTTAAAATAAAAGAAACACTACCTGTTTATAAATTCAAGTCTCTTCTCAAGATCACTTACTCACCCAAAACCAAATAAATACTGAATAACTGAACCTTATAAATTGTATATCTTAAATGTTTTCTCACAATTATATCACATAAATGTTAAACCTAAAACCCAATCTAACTTTATTATTTTTTAAATTCACTACCTAACAGAATACTCCATTCTACTGAATTTACAACAATGCATGCAACCATATGACCTGTCTTTGTAATACTCACTTGTGCTTTATAGTAATCAGTTTACATTAATGTTTTTCACTGATTTCATCATTGCTTAGTTAATCTTAAGTTAATTTTAAGCCAGCCCGTAATGCTATGCATAGTATAAGTGGCTTTGGCATGCTGCTCTTATCTGTATTTTTTTTTTTTGTACCTCTGTAAGTGTGCTCAAATTATAAATAAATAAATAAATAAATAAATAAATGTTAATTTGCGCATCTCCTGCTCTGCTACCAAACATAATGTTGTAGGTTTTGTCAGTGTTAAGCATAAGTTTATTGGCTGTCATCAAAGTCGATATTTTGATCAGCTCCTCATTAACAATGGTGTTGAGGGTGGCAAGATTAGGGTGAGAGATGACATAAGTCGTGTCGTCAGCAAAGAGAATGGGGTTCAGGTGTTGAGATACATTTGGAAGATCATTGATGTATATGAGGAAGAGCAGGGGACCAAGGACACTTCCCTGCGGAACTCCAGTATCAAGTGGCTGTGTTGTTGATGCTGTGCCTTTAATGGTGACATATTGATACCTATTAGTAAGGTAAGATTTGAAATATGCAGGCGCATGGCCTCTTATACCATAATGGTCAAGTTTGTGGAGTAGGATGCCATGGTCTACTGTGTCAAAAGCTTTTCTTAGGTCAATAAAAATTCCTAGTGGACATTCCTTATTTTCCAATGCTGTGTAAAGCAGATCTAGCATTTTTATGATTGCATCGTTAGTGCTTTGAACCATATGGTATCACTGTACTGTATGGTACAATGTACCATATGGTACCATTGCATCATATGGTACCATATGGTACCATTACACCATATGGTACCAGAAGGCACCATTGCACCATATGGTACCATTGTATCATATGGTACCATTGTACCAAATGGTGCCATTGTATCATATGGTACCACTGTATCATATGGTACCATTGTATCATGTGCCATTATACCATATTGTACCATATGGTACTATATGGTACCATTGTATTCAACACAATAACCGTACTAAAATTTTCATCATTTTGTTTACAATAAACTTGTAAACAAGTTTTGTAAGCAATATAATGATAAACAAATTAGTGCAGTTATTGTGTTGAATACAATGAGTGTACACTTATACAATATACATTATACTGGTCTCACAGGCCACAAATGTTATTAGAAAAAGAAAAAATTAGAAAAGAAAAGAAAAAAGTATAAAAAACGAAAAATAAAAAAATGGGATTTTGCGGAAGTCACTGATGTTGCCGCCACCCGGTCATTTTGGGTCAACTTCCCGCCGCTGTATCTCGGTAAGTACTTATCAGAAAAAAAATTTTTTGTCTTATTACCTTTTTTTTTTTTTTTTTTTCAAAATTTCTTGGACACTGGAGCACCACTTCAGATTTTGGCCTTGGACCCTGAAGGGGTTAAGAACCTACTCCCAAATCTATATACAGGTCCGCCATCACAAATCCGGCAATCAGTTATTCGGTTCCTTCAGTTATTCGGCACTAATTTTGGCTAGCATAATTTCAAATTTCCAGGGTCACCACACCAACCTGCTGGTACTGTTTGGTGGCGCTACTTGCTGCATAAGTCATTCCAATTTCTTTTTCTCCATTTATTGTTTTATCCTGCTTACTTCTCAGCCATTAGCGGCCACTTAGCGGTATATTTTTCTATGGTTGTTATGGTTATATTCTCATTTTTTCGGTCTCATTTGATAGAATGAAAGATATTTTACAGAAATAGATATGATTTTGATTGCTTTCATGACGAAAAGTACCTTGAAATTGCGCTCACAGTAGCGAAAATGTTCTATTCTTTAGAGAAGCTCATGAGTAAACAAATGACGTCACCATCCAATAATTGTCCACCTGCCAGTCCAATACGGAGTCAATAATGGCTTGACATTATTTATACAATTATTACAATAATGCAGCAGTCTGCATAACAGTAAATCTTCTATTTTTTTGTGAATAAAAATTCCAAATGAAAAGCAAGAGTAATATAAGAGGGGCCTGTAGCCATGACTAATGAACAGAGAAAATGTCATTTTAGTGCCAGGAATGTCTGCATTGTTTATTCTGGACCCTATTTTGAAATTGGCATCTGTTGAAATTTGTGTGAAATTGGCCAAATTGCCAATTTCTGACCACTTTATTGGGTAGTTGAAATAAGTGAATGGGCAGTTTCTTGTACTCAGTTGACAGACTAGAAGTAAATAAGTTCATTCAGGTATACACAAATACAGTTACATAGATTATCATACATAGCAGCGTATGTATAGAGAACCTAGGATAACCCAGAAAAGTCAGACAAAGTGACTTATTTCCAGTACCTGAAAAAAAACCATACCCCCGGCCGGGATTGAACCCGCGGTCATAGAGTCTCAAAACTCCAGCCCGTCGCTTTAGCCACTAGACCAGCTAGCCACAATAAGATTCATCCAACTAGGTATATTTCTACACCATAGGAAAGTTAGCACAGGCACCTCTGTGACCACAAATGCAAGTTTTTACAGACGAATCTCCAGCTAGCGTGGCCGTGACAAACTCTAGCTCAAGTCCCTTCACTGCCGTCAACATGACTCAAGAAATCGTAATGACACGATTGCAAATTAAACCTACCCCCGGCCGGGATTGAACCCGCGGTCATAGAGTCTCAAAACTCCAGCCCGTCGCGTTAGCCACTAGACCAGCTAGCCACCGCGGGTTCAATCCGGCCGGGGGTATGGTTTATTTCAATCGTGTCATTACGATTTCTTGAGTCATTTGACGGCAGTGAAGGGGCTTGAGCTAGAGTTCGTCACGGCCACGCTAGCTGGAGATTCGTCGTAAAAACTTGCATTTTTGGTCACCCGAGGTGCCTTGCAACTTTCCTATGTTGAGAAACAACCTAGTTGGATGAATCTTATTGTGGCTAGCTGGTCTAGTGGCTAACGCACGGCCTGGAGTTTGAGACTCATGACAGCGGGTCAATCCCGCGCGTGGGTATGGTTTTATTTGCAATCGTGTCATTCGATTCTTGATCTGTTCCAGTACCTGGCTTGGGCTTGCCATATATGATATTTGGTAAATATCATATATGAAGGAGGGGAGTTAATGTTGCAGTTTAAAAACTGTAGTGTAAAGCACCCTTCTGGCAAGACAGTGATGGAGTGAATGATGGTGAAAGTTTTTCTTTTTCGGGCCACCCTGCCTTGGTGGGAATCGGCCAGTGTGATAATAATAATAATAATAATAAATAAAAAAAAAAAAAAATTTTCTCGGTTGTTTGTTGGGCTATCTCATTGAAACTTGGGCAATGTATGATGGAAAGATGCTTCTTAACGTACAACAAAAATAAAAAATACGGACGATAAATAAGGGAGTTAACTTCTCAGCCATTAGCCGCCTCTTTGCAGTATATTTTCATATGGTTTTTATGGTTGTATTCTCATTTTTTTGGACTCATTTGATAGAATGGAAGATATATTACAGAAATATACGTGATTTTGATTGCTTTCATGACGAAAAGTACCTTGAAATTGAGCTCAAAGTAGCGGAAATGTTTGATTTTTGCAGATGTTCAATGAACTGTGTAAGTCAAGTTGGCTAATTTTATTAAGTGTATTCTAACCTAACCACTCTGTAATCCGGCAAACTCAGTAATCCAGCACACTACAGGTCCCAATGATGCCGGATATGTGATGGAGGACCTGTACTGCCATTATATATTAGAGTGAGAGATATAGAAGTGCAAAATACTGTATACCCAGTGAAAAGCAGGGGTGCCAAGTGAACAATAAAAGAGAACAATGTGTCAACATCATTGGTCCAAGACTGTTGAACTTGCTACCAGCAGATATCAGAGACATTGCTACAACAAGCATGGAAGTTTTCAATAGGAAACTGGATCCCTACCACTGCCAAGTGCCAGATCAACCAGGCTGTGATGGCTATATTATCCAGAAGGCTGCCAACAAACCATTCACAAATATGGATCACACTACCTTGGTGAAAAACAGCTCATGTTGAAAAAAAAATTAAACCAAACTTTTGACAAAAGTTGTATGATCAAGAAAATCTGAATGGAACAAAATTCACAGATAATGAAACAATACACTTGCAAAAGAGCGCATTTGCACTGTGAATTCCTGGAAGAGGAATGCACTGCACATATAAACCAGCAGCATTTTTCCAACCAGCAGCATTTGTCCAGTAGCCATCACAGCACAGTGTTAAGCATGCAAGACTTGCATATGCTTAACACCACTTTTTGTTTAGTGAGTTACCTAATACACATGAACTTCTTTTGCAATTCTACTGATGGTAGTGTTATTTTTGCTTATCAAGAACAAGGACAGTGTCTCATGATACAAATCTTTGTTAGATGACAACCCGTTAACTGGTTAAGTAAACACTGGTCTATTGGGGGTAGTTTTATCCTCATTTAAAGATCACCATCTATTAATGGCTGGTGTCTACTGTTTATACAAGAGAAACACTAAGTAAACTGACCAAGTTTGTGAAGGCCTCCCATTACTCTCTCTTCAGTGCGGATATGGTCGAGCAGAGTGAAGATGTTGGTAAAGTCCATGTCGAGATGCATGCCATTAATGTAGAGTGCAGCATTTGAAGGATTCACCTCCATCTGTGAACTCAGCTGGTTCTGATTCTTTAGAATTTCTTTCTTCATTTTTTCATCCACCTGAAAATTTTAAATTAGTTTCAGGGCTATCTTAAATACAGATTTTAATATCATACATGTGTGCAAACTCTTCCTCTACCTCCTGATAGACCATTTTTACCTCTTAAGCTTCACTTAAAAAGCTAAGTAATTATCAGAGGAATAATACTGGAAAAAACTGACCCATGGCTCAGTCGGTAGCACACTCAGCTCACACACTGAGTGACTGGAGTTCGATCCCCAGTACAGGTGAAAACATTGGGCATGTTTCCTTACACTTGTTGCCCCTGTTCACCTAACAGGAAACAGGTACCTGGGTGTTAGCTGACTGGTGTGGGTGGTATCCTGGGGGGTGGTAGTATACCTTAGATAGGGCTGGGCTTAGAAATAAGATGAGATAGGATACCAGATCTTAACCTGTAAAATTTGTGTAAAAAAAAGACACTGTACCGTTAACATTTGAAAACATGACCACTAAATATGTGAATTCAGCAGAGATTAATAAATACTAATTCATCAGTGCTGAAAACTCCACTTAAAAATTCTAATTCATGAAAGGTTGGAAAGTGACACATGAAAAACCATGGAGTAACTTTTCCCACCGCCATAAACAATTGCTTTCTAAAAGTGAGGCCTAACTAACCCAATATGATAACCATATTTTGGTTATTACCATCACACAATCTTGTCTTTGGATATTAACCAAAGCACAAAAAAAAATAATAATAAAGCCTGAAGTGCTAAGAAGAAAATTAAGTGTGAAACTTATGGTTTCTAAGGAAACTAAGGTTTAAATATGCATCAAGGTGTGTAGTGAGGTGGGAGGAGAGTTCATTGAGGCTAGTAACCCATAATTACTCTGAAATTAACAGTCAATTACCTATTCCAGCTATATTTATATAATTGGATAAATTAATTGTTAACAATGTGTGAAAAAGTTATTAAATAAGAAGTCATGATCGTCATTGTGGCAGTTGGAGGTGTTGTGTTTGGGAGTTATGAGGACCACCATGGTAGTGCCATACTGACTCCTCTCCATTTTCTGTGGGAGGAATGCAACCAAAATTGAGTTAACAACAGATTTTGCCCAGGCCTTAGAAATTATAGGTGATGACAGTAAGTGATGGTGTCTAGTGGTGGTAGACAATGGTGCTGATACTACCTAACACAGGATTGTACAGGGCTACATTAACCCTTTCCACATATCTGTGTATCAACAAGCAACAACAGAATTTAACCAATAAGCTGTTGGTAAAGTACAGGTATGTCCAAGTGATGAATGTACTCACTTATTTGTGATTGCAAAGGTCAAGTCTTAGTTCCTGGCCTTGCCTCTCTGCTGGCAGCTACTTGGTTCACTCTCCCTCCTGGTTGCATGAGCCCTATCACATCAATTCTTGAAGATATGTATGGATCCTGCCTCTTGCCTCACTATTTAAGTCATTCTACATTTTGATCACACTTAGGCTAAAGAAGAATTTCCTAACCTTCCTGTTACTTGTTTGTTTATTTAACTTCTAGCTGTGATGTCATATACCAGAGACCCAGTTCTTAAACAGACTTGCATTGTTCACCCTGTTAATTCTTGTCAGTATTTTGTACATTGTCATCATGTCATCTCTGGTCCTTCTGTCCTCTAGTGTCACCAGGTTTAACTCTTTTTAACAATCCTCATAGCTCATACACCCTCAGCTCTGTGACCAGAATGCATAATTCATAGCACCTACAAATTTGCTGCAAGCAGGAAATTTATACCTATGCTTATGTGTACAGTATATAAAACATCCTGTCCGCACACAGCATAATGGAAACAGCTGCCCTCCCACCCTTTGTTAATCACTCCCACCATAACTAACCAATTTCTGTTAACCTGCAATGGCACTAACAGTGAGGATAATGATCTGTGATGAATTTGTGTGTGTGAAGATGACACCAGGAATGTCAATAATACAGCTTCAAACCCTTCCAACTCCAGCACAATAAATTCCATCTTATCTGAAGCCTGACAATTACAATCACAATTTAGCATTAATTCCTCTTACTGAGAAGAAAATAAAGGATCAGAAGAGATGTATGTGCTCTCACCACAAGAAGACATTCACATGTAAATTCAGGAAAAAAAACCCAAGTGGGGTTTCCTTTTTTCAGCTTTGAATTTAAAAAAGGAGGAGCAACACTGCAAAGAACAAAAAGGGTTTGGGGAAAAATAAAATCACGTCCCAAAACCAGAGAAAAGGGGCCCATCCCATAAAAAATGGGGAAGTAAAACAGCTTTGGGAACAGGGGTTTTAAAGCAGACCCATAGCGATTTCCAAAGGTTTGGGGAAAAAATTTACCTAAAAAGGGAAAAGTTTTGGGAGTCCCCCCACAAAATGAGTAGATCAAGAAAGACATCATTGGGTATAAAGGGGATAAAGAAAAACCCTTTCACTCCCTTTTACTTCAAAGAAACTGGAGCCCAACCCATCAAAAAGGGGACATTAAGAAAGGGGGACCAGCACTTAAAAGGTCAGATGTTGCTGAACACCTTAAAGTGTTTAAACAATAAATTTCCCTGATATAAACCTCCCTCGGGAAACCTTTCTTGATATCTCAACACAATTTTCAAAAAATTTTTACCAACAATCATTTCACACACCCGCATCACAAACCCCAAAAAGAATCCCACCATAACCCCTACCATCATCACAAATCTGTCCCACTTTTAAGTAAAAAGTGCAAACACTATCATAACAAAAGGACACAAAATCTTTTTTGATATCTTGTTCCTGCTCAAACTGGAAAAACTCAATTCACAAAAAAAGGGGCCTAAAATCGGAAACTCTCGCCTAAAGAACCCAAAAGGGTTTTCTACCTAACAGCCATTTTAAAAAGTTTACTTTTAAAAAAGCACGGGCCTTACTTAAAATTACCCCTTCCAGCAATTTAAAATTTAAAAAAAAACCCAAAAACCTTTCTGTCATTATAAAATTTCCCTTCCATGTTTTCTTTTTTCCGCTTTCCTTCACCCCATTTACTGCTAGTTAGTCATATACATCTAATCTTCTTTTTAAATTAAAGGGAAACTAGAAATCACCACACTGCCAAATTTGACAATTTTTCCGTTTCATTGTAATTTTTTTTTTTCAATTTAAATTAAAATTTAAACCCCTTAAACTTTTCCAAATTTTAATCACTTTTTTAAAAATTTGGGAAAGTAGGGAAAAAAAAGTAGATCTTTTTTTTTTTACATTAAAATTTTTAAAAAAAAGTAGATTATTTTTGGAGCACTACGCATGTGAAGTAGATCGCTTGGACATTTTAAAGGGGTTAAAAATAGTAAATGCTGGAGTTGCTCAAAAGGGATTGTCTTGTTTTAAAAACCCTTTCATTTAAATTTTTGGGGTCTATCCCAATAATACTGGTTTTCCCCTTTTTTTTTAAAACATAAGCTGCTGTATTGAAAATCCTTTTTTTTTTTTTAACAAGTCAGCTGTCCCCCCCACCAACATATCCCTCCAAACTCCCAAATATCCCAAACCCCCCCTTTTAGGTCGGGTTGTACTTCCCTTTCCAGGACTAAAAGTCGGGGCTATAAAAAAAAACCTTTTCCCTGAACCCCTTTCAAAAATATTACCCTGCTCACATATTGATAACCCAAAAAAGCATTATTTTTTTTTTCAGCATTAAACCCATTTTCCTCCCAAGGCAGAGTGACTCAAAAAAAAAAAAAACCTTATAAACTACAAACTACTACTTTCTACATTTATTAATTTTTTAACGTGGACAAATTTCACTTTTGATATTAAAAGGGATAACTTTAAAAGATTTTTTTCAAGAAAACCCTGGAAGCTTTCTAAAACAGATGGGAACAAAAAAAAGTGGGGGCGGGAGGGTACTGCCCTTGTTTCCCTGGTCATTTTAGAAAAAAAACGTAAGGCGGGAAAAGGTGTTTGTCCGGGGTTGCAGAAAATGGGGGGCTGATGTGCTGCCCCTGGTAGCCCAAAAAGGTGAATTGGAGATTTTGCCCCGGGTATTTCAGGAATTTTTCACAGGGGGGAAAATGCATATAAATGACCTCATGGGAGACAGAGACCTTAGGGGGGAAATCAAGTGTACCCAAAGATAAGAAAAAACCCCAAAAATTGAAAAACTAGAAATCCCACGGGAAAATACCCAAAAAAAGGGACTCACTAGAAATAGTGGGGATATTTTCCCAAAAAACAACGGGTGGGGCCCCTTTGTTGGTTTTTAGGAAGTTTAAAAAAAACAGGTAAATATCCCACCAACGGGGGAATACGGGCACAGAAACCCAAGGAAAAACATGCACCAACGGGGAATACAGTCACAGAGCCCCAAAGGAAAAACCCATGCCCCAAACGGGGAAAATCAGTCACAGAAAAACCCCAAAGGGCAAAGGGAAAACCCAACCCTGTGAATCTTCATTTGGGTTTCTGCGGCATGGGAAATCTGAAAAAACGAGGGGACTGCAACTATGACCCCCCAAAAAAAATGCCGTGCCCATAGGGACAACAGGAAAAATTGCAAAACCCCTTCCTTAGTTTTTTCCCCCCTTGAAATGTGTCCCTCTTCATACGGGAAAAGACTGTGCTATAATTAAAAATTGCCAGGCACCCCATCAAAAGGGGGACAAAAAGATAAAAAACATCCGGGCCCTTTGGGGAAAAACCGGGGAAAGGCCACACCCCACTCAAGAGGGAGGGGGTTTTTTATTTCCCGGGGAAGGGAAAAAAAAAAACGGCAAAAGGAAAAAAATTTTCCCCTTTCCCCAAAAATCCAGTCTTTCCCCTGGATGGAACCACAGTCCGGGGCCTCCATTTCCAAACCAACAGAAAACAGATACTAATCCCGGAAAAAAAAAAAAAAAACCAGAAACAAACAATACCCCCAAACCCCGATAAACATTCTTCTTTCCCAAATTTATACAGGGTCTAAAGCCAGCAACAAACAAAAAAAATCCCTTTTATCCGGGGGACGTTTCAAGGCAAAGGCAATGTTCGGGGTTTTTCCTGAGACCCACA